AGGTGAACGCTCTGCAACATCATAATGAGAAAAGCAGATCGCTGGCGAAAAGTAAAAAAATTATCTTTCAGTTCTCAAAACTCTCGTTTCCAATCAACAGGAAAATTTGTATATCTATTGGAGTTTTGAGAAGACATGTCATCGTTAATATATCAAACACATTTCAAACTTTCTCACCTTCTTCATCAGAAAAGTAAAAGCAGGATTTATTTTAAAGAGACACGGTGACGCAAAAACAGGAAAAATTTTTGCAATTGGACGTTTCAGTGAAAAATTAGTGAATTTGTGGAAGATTAATACATGTAGGACATATTAGCGGTATTCTATTTTTAGCGGGAGTCATACACATACTATAAGTTTTCGCTTAACCAGGCGAAGTCTGTTACCACTTGCTTACCAACAGGGATTTTGAGCAGAATATATTTTTATTACGGTTAACGTTTCATACCATCAATCAAAGAAACAGCACAAGATTTTAGTAACCCATAAACTATGTACTTAAAAAAGAATTTTGAAAAAAATATCTTTAAAAAGAAATTCGCTAAAATGTTCATAGAATTTTTACAGGCAACCAATTTTACTTCCGCTAAAATATCCATTAAATTTCCCGCAAAAATTTAGAAATTCTGTTAAAATGTCCAGTGCCCCCGAGGAGTAAAACATTCACCAAGGCCCAAAGGGCATTGTACTTCAATGGTTGCTAAATCATCGTATTGACTGAAAAAAAAAAACAGCAAAATTATTTCATTATTTTATTCAATGATAAAACAATACAATCTCGTTTAGCAAAATAATCTTTTCTTGATTGGTTACATTTTTACATTTGCTGAAGTCTTAGTCGATCGCAGCGAGAGAAGCGGGATTAAAATCTATTAATCTGGAAAATGCTCCGATGTAGGAAAAATAATGTTACATTCACTTGGAAGTCGGTTGCAGGTGAAATGAATTTTCATATCCAATCGTATCAATGTTGACGTTTGGTCCAATGTAGAAAAAAAAATGTTATGTTGACCTGGACAGTCTCGTGCAGGTAAATATAACAGTATATTTACATCCACTGAATATTGTTTTCGTTATTTCTTATAAAACCCATTGCTGTTAATCAGTTCATAAACAACACTTAGCAAGCCACTTGCATAGATTTCTTAAGCAAGGGCTATTCCAACAGTTATGCATACAATGACAGACACATCTAGAATACAATATTTAACATATTTAAATTACTTTGAATGATTTTTTTAAAGATATAAATAACAATAAAATGTCTTTATTTGTTTGTTAGTGTGGGAATTAACGTCGCAGCTATTGCAGAAAAAATTCACATAACCCGCTTACGCGGGTTATGTATTTTTTCTGCAACAACTGCGACATTAATTCCCGTACTAACAACCAAAGAAAGCATTTTATTGTTCAAATGATTTCTACAATCAGAGGGCTAGGGATTATTCAGTCATAATAAATTGATTTATTTTCTACTTTCTGTATTAAAAAGTGTACATATATTTAGTACTGCAGGTACATATATAATCAACATAAATAATTAAGAATGGTGTTTAGAAGTATTTTTAAGTGACATAAATAATTGTAGGAAATCACTTCACACAGTTTCCAAGAAAAGGTTGACCTGTTGATAGGAATTCAGACATTGTAGTGTGCATTGTTTTCAAAGAACTAGAACAACACACACACACAAACTTAGCTCTCATCTTTTGTCGTCTCTCATCATGCGGGGTTATTGCATTAACAATACTTTGTTTCTTTTTTCAGATGCAAAAAAATTGGCAGACACATATAACTGTAAATATATAGAGACATCTGTGGCCCTGAATCATCAGGTCGACGAATTGTTGGTCGGAATTCTGCGGCAAATCAGACTAAAACGAAACATGAAACCCTCTGACGTCATATCCGAGTCCACATCCAAACCAAAGGTCAAAAGGTCGGGTGCTCTGGGTCTGCTGGATAGACTATTTGCTCGAAAGCCCAAATCCGGAAGCACCTGTGACAACCTGTATGATGCATGACTTATCAGCCTCCAACATCTATTTTGATATCAAAAGGACAATTTTCCTACTCATTTAGGATGCCATTCCCCTCATGTTGCCCAAGAACGAGATTCAAGCAAACGCTTTTTGAATACAGTCATTAGCAATACGCAGATAACTAAAATAAACTAGGGATAATTGTTTTATGGCATTTTCACCATTATGCTAATAATCAAGAAGTGAAAATCCTTTATAATGCTGGTCATAAATTTATTGATAAAGATATTGTTCTACACTGAAATCCTGAAATGGAAATGACATAACCATGTCCATAATGTTCATAAAGAGATCTAGTAATGGACTCTGATTATAAAGCTGTAAAATGTTCCATTTGTTCACCAAACCAGACATTTCTTAAGCATTTGATATTAAGAGAGAATGAGTCATCTGCCCAACAATTACTGCAGCAATGTACTATTAATAGGTATATTAATTTCTAGGGATATCCCAGATAAAGCTGTCTAATGCAGTGTGTAAAAGTTAATTATTCTTCTTAATTTTTTCTGCCAATCGGATGTGTTTTTACATTGTATATGCAAACTGTCATAGTAGATCAATTCTAAGTATTGAAATTCAATCTTTCCAGAAAAAAGGGTCTTAATGTATTTTTAAAAGCATAGAATAACACAATTCCCACTACCTGACATTTTCTACCAAATGCATTTATTACAATAATGTATCATATTTAAACACAAATTTTTAGCTCCTGTGACAGCAAAATTTAAAGGTCAATGCATATTTCATCTAATGAGATGGTAATATATTCACAAATACAAAGATTGTTTGGCAACTAGAATGCAGTAAAAATTAAATTTTAATATGTCAACTATACATTTTGTGCAAACAATAATTTAAAAAAAATGTATCAAAATATTTCTAACTTCTTCCTGATGATTATACATAAATTATTGACAATTATAAAACTTCATTCACTGTCACTGGCAAATTCCTATTAAAGAAAGAAATGGCAAAATTGTTTAAAAATAAATTCATGCATCAGGGACCTATATACTAACAGTTGTATACAGGTCCCTGCATGTATACAGTCAGTTGGCTTATCCTATTAAATACTCTATAGGCCTAAATACAAGTACAAATATCATAGTAAATTTATCTACAGTTGAACATTGTTTTCAAATTTCATACTTTAAATGAAAATTTCATTGAACCCATACACTGTACATCTGTTTGTTTCATAAGATGTCAATCTCTAAGTGGTAATTCCACTACAGTTTTGACTGTCTTACTGCTTTGGAGGCAGTATGAAACTGTTCATTCTTTTTATTGAAGTTATTAAAACAATAAATGAATGATAAAGAGATATAATAATGAAAAAGTCATAGATTTTCTATCAAAATTGAGAAAATAAACAAAATTTCCATGTTATAAATTGCAAATTAATGAATCTATGATTAGATTACTTATAAATATTGATCTATAAGCTCAAATACTTAGAAAAATTTGATCCAGGTTTTCCAAAAAAAACAAAAAACAAACAAACTTTCGAGATAGTGGTGAAATGAAGATTGCTGACAAAATTTTTTTCAAACATTTCTTTGGATTTCTTTAAAATTCATGTATATTTGAATACTGGTATGTATTGACAAAACTTGTGTATTTTGAAACAAAGTTGCTGTTTTCAAAACATACTGCACACTAATAAAATAAGATTGTATACAATGGACGCAAATTTGAAAAATAAAATAGCACAATGTAAATAGAGACATATGAAATGGACAATCACTTGAATAACAGACATCAGTTTTTATTTTTACAATCATGCTTTGAAGATCAATACATGTACTGGGTTTTATGAACAATGAACACAGAACTGAGGCACAGGACCTACAATGTCAACTCCTTCAATTCATTTACAGGCATGTTTTAAAAAATAAATGCTTCATTTTTGGAAATGTGTTCACATTTTACAAAGAATGTTTAAAAAAACACCTGACAACTGCCTTTAAAACTTATTCCTTCAAATCAAGACTAAAAATATGTCTTATATCGCTATCAAAAATAAATTAATATAAACTATCTTCTATAACGAAATCTGCACCAAATTCTTAAAATAAACAACGTAAAAAGCAATTCATATTTTCTTTCACTGAACATCTGAAGTAAAAGGATTTTGACTGTCAACAAATTAAAAAAAAATAATACTTCGATACAAATATAAGTAATCATTACATAAGTATACAAATATAATTATGCAAATATTATAATTATGCTTCTAGCAAGATTCTCAAGTGTACTGATTGCACATGCATGGATGACTATAGCTGCAACAACACAATAAGCCTCAAAAGAGATGTTTCCATGCACAGCTTTTGCACAACATTTGAGAAAAAAAAACAATAACGCACATGTATGTACTGTACAGCAGGAAATTAACTTGTAGAATTAATTTTTGTGACTATAGCAATAATTTAACTCTGCAAGTTAATATTTGCTATATTCATGAAAATAAAAATTTCACAAATTCAACATGCAGTGAAAAATTCTTAAGCATAATGATAAGGATAAACTGAAGAAAATATACTGTTGTCTGTATATGGATACGAAAGCCCTGTCTGTTAAAATATAATTACATTGTAATATAGTTGATTAGTTACCACCTTCCTTCAAATATCAAAAATTGTAGAAATCCGGAGTTGAAAGCTCACAATCTTAATACATGTCTGATACAAAGTTTATTGTTGGTGTGGTTACATTGAATTTCACATTTCAGGTGTTAAAAGAAAACCCTCTTGAGATTCAGACTACAGCAATTTGCTACAAAGTGAGCAAATTGTGATTTTTTCCAACATAATTTTTATGTGCTGTACAGTATTCAAAACTTCTTGTAATTCAACATTTCTAAGTAATCAAAATACAGTTAAGCATTAGAATTTTCACCCTACCTGAACTTTAAACATCTTCAGAGAGTTATCTAAGAGTGTAATTCATAAAACATTTGGATCTGTAGATTTATTAAATTTATATAGTTACATGGAATTCAGTTTCCAGTTATAAATCATATTCAACAAAACAGAACATTTACAACTGTAAACTTCTTAGTTTTCATTCAATATATTTAAGTTAACTTATCTTTGAACATTTTCTCCATCTGAAATGGTTAAGAAACCAGGTGACTTTGCTGGTGAATATGATGACAATAGTTTCACAACAAAAGCCAAAATACACAACACTTTTGCAGAAGCTTTCAGTTTTGACAGAAAATTTTCTGATTAAATCTATGTATATAGGACTCCATTATAACAATTCATCGACAAGTAATTTATGAAACACAACAGAAAGCCGGAAAATAAATCCTTCAAAAAGCACTAAGATCATCTAACAAGATTCCCGAGGAGGTTCCTTTTGGCAGTGAGGAGGAGAGGTGCCTCATCAGGAGTGTTCTGTAGGTTTTCCTGGTACTCTCTCTTGTATTTATTTAAATGAGGACCCCAATCAGCTGATGGTTGGGTGAGTTTTCTTAATCTCTGAAATTAAACAAGAATAAGTCAAAGTAATTCATCAAGTTTCAAACCAGAGGGAAATGGCCCTGGATGGTAACATGTTACATCACAAAGCAACTTTTCTTGCTGTACTTTCTACACGTAATCCCCCTGCAAAGTCACCTATAAACTTCCTGTATTACAATTTATAAAAACAAGAGGCCAATGGGCCACAACACTCACCTGAGTTACGTTGGCCCTACTGTTCTTCATCAGATTTTTAAAAGATTTTTATATTCCCTTGAAAAATATGACCATACATGTATATTACGGCTCCATTCTAACTCTAAGAGGTCTCCGAATCCACATACAATGGGGATGCTTCAATATCAATAGGACTAATATGGCTTTGCAGTTATGGAGAAGAAAATTCTTTTCTGGTATGCATGCGTTATGGAAAATTTGATCCTGATTTTAGCCAACTCTAACTCAGAGTCCGTATTTAAAAACCATTAAATTCACATAACATGAGAGTGTCTGCAAATTAATTTCTATTGTGTTTCTTTAGATTTAAAACAAAAAAAAATTCTTTTAGTTCCAAGTGAAACTTTGACCCCCTAGTGTGGCCCCACCCTAACCCCAAGGGCCATGAATTGAACATTTTAGAATCTTCCCTACCTCAGGAAGCCTTCACATAAGTTTCATCTTTTCTGGCCCAGTGATTTTTTAAAAAGATTTTTCTTATATCTTTCAATGTAAAACTTTCTTCCCCTATTGTGGCCCCATCCTAACCTCCGAGGGCCATGATTTGAACAATTTAGAATTTACACTACCTTTGGAAGAGGGCTCATTGCTCAGTTTAATCATAAAAAGTAGTATAGAACAAGATTCTGAAAGGGACTCAGATGACATAAAATAACTCCATACTTATATAAATGTTTCTTGGATCTGAAGAGGAAATATCTCCAGAAGAGAGAAACATTTACAGAAGCTTCAAACATGGTATAAAATGATTGGTCCAAACACCAGACCTACCTGTAAACAAGTTCCATTTGTCTTGGAGAAGTAATAAATGGCTGTTACTGGTAATGGAACCAGTGGAATGAGAGAGAGAAGGAAGCCTATAACACGGGCGTGTATAGGGTATTCATATCCCTCATAGGTAGGGGGCTGGTAGTTTGTCAGGGTTATAATGAAAGCTGCCTAAAAACAGAGAAATATGGTCCTTATGTGCAAGTACACTTAAAATATGGTTATAGCAAACAAACATGCTTATATTGAATTCATGCTTACAGCAAAGTGATTGGCATTCCTTGTATTTCTTTATTGCATTACAAAGTTAATGGATATAATGAATTACATATATAATGAATCAGAATTGTTTGTTCCTTGCCCTTCACTATAGTTCATTAAACTGTACATGTATCTATGTCTTTTCATTATCAAAGCATTCTAAGTTTACCAAACAATTTCCATTTTTCTTTACTATTAGGCAAAAATACTGTAAACCTGGGGAAACACTTGAGAGAGAAAAAGTTTGATTAACAATAAACTGAATGTCAGTTCTGATTTCAAACTGCCCTTACCAACATAACAAGAGGTGTGATGATACACCAACAGACACGTATAACCACATTCACCTCCATTCCTAGCATCATCTTCACATCTTTACTGAATCTATCAGCACCTACACAACAATGAAGAAGGATCAATGCAGTTATTTTCAAGCCTGACTTCACATGTCTGTAACATACCATAAACCACAGTGAGAAACATTATGAAGTTTGTGACAGACTCAAGTTTGCCAATATTTGTTACTGTAAGCCTGTCACACACTATGTGGCATTCTTATAATGAAAAAAATATTTTAAAATCAAATCAGGGATTTCCTGAATAAATTACATCTCGAATAATACTCTGTTAACAGATGTCACCAAACGATACAGTCAAACCTCACTATCTCACACTTGATGGGACCCAGAAAAAAAACTTTGAAATATACAAGGGTCCAAAATACAGAGGTTAAAATTAATAAAGAAAAGTGCTTGGGACTTCCAACTCATCTCAACTTATCCATTCAAGATATCAATGGTTGAGATACTGAAATTCAACTGCAGTTGGTTTACAATAGTTATTTGAGCAGAAAAGCTATCTGAACACTCACCATAAATCCAGCCAACTATGACACATTCTAGGAATGAGGTCAATGTGACACAGAGTGAGGCTGCATACCAATCAACAATTTGAAAATAATACATCCCTCCCTACAATAGACAAAAATAAATGAAGTTCTCCCCCTTCTTACTAGTATAAAAGATAAAAATACAGACTCATGCATGTAGTGTTGTCATCCTTCTATTCATTTATAATCAAGGATTAACATAACTTTCAATATACATGTTATTTTCCTTACAGTTAACCTTTAAAGATACATATCACAAACAAATTTTCTTATCTCCGACATAGAAGAACTAATTTGCTTCTTTTTTTTTTTATTTTTCTTTCAATGGAAGGTAATTTGGAAATTCTAATCTTGTAATATGTAAAAATAGACCCTTGAAAATGTTCCAGGAAATCTATTTACAGGAACAAAACTTCATACATTTTTTAAAAATTTTAAAAATTACATTGAATTGTAAAGTTACATTTTTTCCACTTTTCACCAAATTCTGTGGCTTAGTCAAACAAGAAGTTGTTAAACTAAATAGATATCACTTTTTCAGTGAGAGAGGAAACCTATTTAAGCAAATTAAGCTATCTGAATTTTGGAAGAAAAAAAACTGATTGTTTTATTTCTCCTTTATATACAATGTAAAAAAGCAATTGAAAGAAAAATGATAAAAATATTTCTTTTCACAATACAAAATCTTATTTTGGTATCATGAGTTTGCAGAAATTATAGCTGATCTGACTTACACTGGTAGTAAAAGGTAGACCCAAAATAAACATAATGGCACACAGTCCAGCTGTCAAAAGAGTTTTCCTTCCACCAAAATACTGAGGGAATGCATCAACAAGACCACTGGACACTGTTTCAAAGGTTCCAAACTACAAAAAATCAAAGCTTTCAAAAGGCACCAAGTAACAAAACCAAAATTTAATTCAATCAGTGACTAATCCTGACATTTCTTTGGCCATATAGCGATCAATTTTTGCTATTTGCACTTTTTATGGTAATATGCACATCTGTCCTCCTATAGTTTTGGTCTGATATCAGTAAGATTTGGTACACATGTAGACTACACTAAGATACATTATTCTATAAATTGATTTTTGAATTTGATGAACTGTGTTACCATGGTTTATAAAAATAGAAATTCCTGTCTTTCAGAACACTACTACTGCTACAGTTTTGGTCTGATTTCAATAAGACTTGGTACACAAGTAGACTACACTAAGATACTTAATTCTATAAATTGGTTTTTGATTTTGACAAACTCTGTTTCCATGGTTTATAAAAATTGAAATTTCTGTCTCTCAAAACACTACTTCTCCTACAGTTTTGGTTTTATTTCAGTATATGATTTAGTAACCATGTAGACTACTCTAAGATACATAGTTCTGTTTACTGGGTTTTGAGTTAAATGAATACTGTTTCAATGTACAGTGTATACTAAAATAGGATGAAGTTGGAATTCATTTGAATCATTACCGGTACTCGTCTGTTTTTGGTCTGAAATTAATAATAACTTGGTACGCAAGTAAATCGAACTGAGTATTATAATTCTTATTTTTTAATGTTGGCATGGCTAGTAAGTTCCATTTCCAGGTACTGTTTTTCTCTTTCTTATCATAAGTACAAACTAGCAGAGATACAGTCTCATCAGAGTCTTCTGGTTTTATATTCAATTATTCTCTCTCAGATCTACAACTTATAACTGCAATTTATCTCTATCAGAAATAAATGATAATGTTTATTTTCAATCACAGCCCCTCAAGCTGGTTTTAATCTGACTGACATACCAGTATATCAGTCTGTAGGCATGTGTTTTCACTGAGACAGTAATTCATTATACATGTATTGTGCATGCTAGTAATTTGATCTGTGTACCATTAGAATGAACTAAAATACTTACCTGACTATCTATTCCTAAAGTTAATAGCATCAGAAAAAAGAGCACAGCCCACAGATGAGGAAAAGGAAGGGACAACATGGCCTCAGGGTATACAACAAGGGCCAGTCCTGGACCTATAATTATTAATTTGATTTTTAAAAGGTGCAAGAAAAACTTCAACAAACATCACTTTGGTACAGTTATTTTAATAAAACCATTTATATGATTCTCAGAGGGAAAACTGATGAAATTATTTTAAAAAATAAATTTAATAAATAAATTCTTACCTTTTCTGCTCTTAATAAAAAAAGAAGTCAACAAAAAATTTTAGTATCAATTTAATTTCTTCTGCACAATGCCACATAAAAAATGGTACCTGAATCAGCCATGTCACTGATTTTTAATCCTGTCACAACCGCCAAATGGCCCAGTACGGTAAAAATGACAAAACCAGCATAAAAACTTGTCAGTCCATCAGCCAAGCTTCCAATGATTGCATCTCTGGAATTAGAATTTAATAAAATCTCCACAATCATTACTAAAAACTAATTAACAACCCAGTGCTCATGTTTGCTAGCAAGGAAAAAAAATAAATTTAAGCAATGCTAAGGCTTTTGATATGCCTCTCAGAACTGTTAACTAGGGACATTTCTTTCACTTACAGTTCATATTAACTATTGCACATGAATTCTTACCAAACTGAATGGCAGATAAAACAACATGGAAACAAGAAAGAATATTACATGAAAATAGCATGACATTTCCAAATACAGTAAAACATGCTTATAGCGAAGTACCAGGGACGTGCAATTTTGATTTTTGTTATAAACGTAATTCATTATATCCATTAAGATTACGTTTTAAAACCAAAGGGATTGAAAATCACTTCGCTGTTAGCTTGAATCCATTATAAGCGTGTTTGCTATAACCGTGTTTTACTGTAATTTGTTCTATAGCCCCCTTCTCCTTATCTGAGAAAGGTATACATGCATGCACCTAGAAAGAACTGAATGGAAAGTACAGGGTAGTTCCTTCAATATAAAACATTCTGCACAAATAAATCTCATACTCCATGACAAGACTGCAAATCAGGGTTCTCACTAGGATTTTGCTAACTTGAGTCCCAGGACTCAAGGTTTCTGAGAAGGTTGCGTCCCAGCTAAATTTGATGCGTCCCAGAAAAATTATGTTGAGTCCCAACTAAATTATTGCAGTATCCTTCCATCCAAACATCAATAAAAATCTTTATCATTTTATCAGTTTGTTTACGCAGTATTAACATATTCAAGTATATAAACTGGTAACGCATTCAAGCTATATTCTAAAATACACGCGTAATCAATTGCCATAAATTTATAAAGCTAAAAAATCAAGTACCCAGAAGTTGACTGTATACAATCACAGGTGTCATGTGCAATGAGGCGTAACTAATCCTGTCGGTCGTCTGCACTGGGTGAAATTCACGAGGTAATCAAGCCGCATTGTGTATACAAGCAGTAATTATGGTTTCTACATGTAGATAACACTCAAGATTCAAAAGTGTTTTTAAAAAAAAGCTGCAGTGTGTTTACAGCTGTCGGAGTTTGGCATGCGACACTATTATGACTATGGACTAATAAACATGAAATATCTTATGATCAATCCCTGTTTTAAAAAAAGAGAAGTAAGTATAAGAAAAGTTGTTTCTTGGATAAACTTTATGATAGTTACAGGAAGGTTTCGATTAAATATTTCTTTGACAAATTCTTACATCTAAATTCCCCGTTTTCGAAATCACCCGAATTTTCTCGCTAACGAGGACGCGTCCGATCACGAGTCCGCGGACGCATCGTTTTTAAGAACCTTGCGTCCCAAGTAATTTTGCTGCGTCTAGGACGCAGATTCTTGCGTTAATGAGAACCCTGCAAATGTTTTTGCAGATAACACTTAGTGATATAAATTTAAGTAATATATGTACCTAAAACAGTTGTTATTGAATTTGTTGTAACTAGACATTGTGATGAGTCCTCCCCATGCTGGCCCCAAGGAGTAGAAGACCTGAATTCCAGCTTCAAGCCACACCTGTTGGAGAGATTTTTCTGTCTCATTAATTAAGCTGTATATTTAATACAGGTTATGTCAACATAAAATAAACGTGGTTGCAGTGATTTTGATTTTATCTCCGTTTTAAATAATCAGAAGAAAAAAAATTATAGTCTATAGAAAAAAGGGTTTAATTGAAAGATGGATGTGAAATATTGAGCTTTTCAAGCACATGTATGAATATGCATGAAATTCATCATATCTTTTAAAAAGCTCCATCACTTCTTATTCTGATTCAGAAATAGAAAGATATCTGAATGAGATTGAGAACATTCTAAAATATGTTAGATTATGTTGAACTTGACAAGTTGTTCTTCAAAATATTCAAAACCTCTTACATCCATCTAAAACATGCAGATCTTGATCTTCTGAACTATGGATATTTAATAATAATTACCTGAAAATCTGACAGTCTTGAGAAGTCAGGGGTCAGATAATACATAATGCCATCAACTGACCCCTCCAGCATTAGGCCTCTGATCAAGAATACAGTGAGCAAAATATAGGGCAACACTGCTGTCACATATACAACCTGAAAATGAAACCAGACAAGGAGGATAACCTAGCTGTAGTATCTCTAACGGTTCCAATTTATATGTATTTATCTTAGAGATGAGACAAAATTCAAGCATTGGGGAATTTAAATCTGCATTTTCCTTGATGCTTTTTTATCAAACTTAAAATTTTATCTTCCACTGAATGTTGATAAATAAGTAAGACAGTTTTGCCATATATAACAAGCAATGAGACAACTCAGAAAACTCAGTTTTATTAATGTGGACAATCAACAGTTACTTCCCTTTATAGAAAAGGTAGACATACATGTACTTACTTTTCCAACAGATTTGACACCTTTCATAAGACAGAAAAAGACAAGCACCCAGGCCACTAATGAGCCAATTATGAGGTGAGGTTCTACTGAGCCTGGATTATCAAAACCACTGGAAATTCTCAGCACTCGACGCCTGGAAGAAAACAGTCGTCCACTTGTACTCATACTTATTATTGTAGTCAATGCTCTGAGAAAAATATGTCAACAACAGATGTTTGTGAAACACTTGCCCCCCCCCCCTCCCCCCCTGAACAATTTTTCTCCATGTTCAAGGGGCTTAACTCAGAAATTGCTCAATCGTACCCAAAACAGAACTGGTGTGTTGGTTGAGAATACATTAAGAGATAGTTTTATCGAAGACTGGAATGTAAATGTATTAAATTCTCCAAAACCTTAATTATACAATGTACAAGTGTGACTTTGGTTTTGAAAATTACCTAAACATGTTACCAAATGATCTTAGATAATATTTATGTTAATTTTATTGTGTCGGTCATAACTTGCCAATTGAAGCTGGTAGATTTTATAGTATTGATAGATCTGAGAGACATTGTAACCTCTGCAATAACAATGAACTTGGTGATAAGTTTCATTATTTATTTAAGTGTCCTTTTTTTAAGAATGAAAGACAGAAATTTATACCTAGCAATATTTACACAAATCCAAACACCATATCTTTTTATGATTTGATGAATACTTCTGATATATATGAACTAATAGGTTTAGCTAAGTTTTGTAAAACTGTTCTTGAATTCTTTCATACCTGAACTTCCTACAACGTAAACATTAAACAATTTTTTTTTTAACAACCGTCAGTACTGTCCATATCAAAGATCTTTTTGTAGTTCATTATGTTAACTGTTCACATGTTAATTTGTTCAATTGTTAAACTCTTATTGTACTATACCCCATGTGGGGGCTTTAGTGAAAATAAAAGTTTCAAAGAACTTGACTTAGATATTCTTATGATAAATCTGTATACCAAATTTCATTTCAGTATGTGCAACCTCTGCAAAGAAAATGAACGGAAACTACAAATAATTGGAATTTTTATAAGTCCAAGGGGCTTTACTCTGTCAGAAATTGCTCGATCGTACCCAAAACAAAACTTGACCTAGATATTCTTATGATAAATCTTTATACCAAATTTCATTTCAGTATGTGCAACCTCTGTAAAGAAAATGAACGGAAACTGTTGGAGGACCTACAGACAGACAGACCAACCGGCTGACCAACAGACAGCAGCAAAGCAATATGCCCTCCCTTCTTCGAGGGGGGCATAATATGTCATACGCAGCATCCAAAGCAAGACTGTTTCAGTGTTTGTTTTCTTAAATGTATTAGATTTGGCTAAAAAAAGCTTTTTTTTTCTTTGAACAATGATTTTCAACATTAATACATGTATTAGTATATACATTCACAATTGTTCTCCTTCCTTCATATCTTTACAAAATTCTAGCAATATTCATGTGTCAATGCAATGAAAATGTGATGTCTCAATGATGTTATTTGACAAGGATGTACATGTATTTGCACTGAGTTATAAATGTCACCATGTGCACAAACAATTTCCTACTGCACACAGACTTCAGTTTGTATGTACATCACATATAATTAATGCAAAAATGATCATTCCAAGCTTAAATGTTTCGTAACATTAGTAGTATCAGTCTCCCACTTACTGCCAGAATTCCTTGGCTGCTGTTGGTGAATCTTTGATTATATCCTGAATACTATACCCTGTCCCAGTTATGGTAACATTGGCTAGAGCACTGTTAGTGAGAACAGGGGAGGTATTCTGAAGTTCTGATTGTGTTGTAGCACTAGTAGTAAATGTGCCATTCTGAAATCCAGACCTGGTCATCCCTGTGATATTGTAAAATGATGAATTGGCTGCTGCTATTGTGACATTACCAGCTGCTTTGGCCCTGGACTCGATGCAGTATTCAGTGTTCCAGCTCTCTGTGCAGACTGACCATGGCAATGGGTCAAAGAAGGAATTGACGAGGTAGTACAGCACCCATACTATCACAGTGATGTAGTACCATGACATCAAAGCTGATACGATCACCATCAAAAATCCTAAACCTACAGTGCATGTCTTCATTAAAAAAAAGTACTGATAAAATGTTTTCATTAACAAAGTCAATGTATCACATATTTTCAGTCCTATAAAATGGTATACATGTACATGGCACTATCAATTGCAAATTCAGCAATGTTCACATATAAATACATGCTTAGCACCATATGACATATTGACCTAGTATTTGACATTTTTTGACACCTCATAATCATCACCTGTTTATTCTAAACATACATCAGCCCACATTTTCTGTATTATCTGTTACCTTTGAACAATGGACAGAGCTTCCACACAAATATGGAGCTGACTCCCGAGAACTGTCCTAAACATAGCTCCAGGAAGTACAGGGGAATTCCACAGAAGATCAGGAAGAAGAAAAACGGAATCAGGAAGGCTCCTGAAAAAAACAAAACAAGAGGCCCATGGGCCACATCGATCACATGAGCACATTGGCTAGGCAAAACAAATCAGTTCAGTATTGAAAAGATTACTGGGGGGGGGGGGGCTTGAAATTTAAACTACCTGATGATGCTTTCATGTCAATATAACAAATGGCTTTGTTGTACTTGAGAAGATTTTTTAAAAAAAAATTCCCATATATCCTTTGTAAAAATTTGATCCCCCATTGTGGCTCTTCCCTATCGCAAGGGTCATCATTTAAACAAACTTGAATCTACACTACCTGAGAATGCTTCCATATCAATATGACTTAACATAGCTTTTCTGTTCTTGAGAAGAAATATTTTTTCTCTATGTTCTTATGTAAAACTTTCGATCCCCCATTGGACCCCACCCTACCCCCTGGGGTCATGATTTGAACAAACTTGAATCTACACTACCTGAGGATGCTTCCATATGAATATGACTCATCATTGCTTTGCTGTTCTTGAGACTGAAGAAGATTTTTAAAGATTTTTCCTATATATTTCTATGTAAAACTTTGATCCTTCATTGTGGCCCCCGCCCTATCCCCGGGGGTCATGATTTGAACAAACTTGAATCTACACTACCTGAAGATGCTTCCAAATAAATATGACTCATCATGGCTTTGCTGTTCTTGAGAAGAAGATTTTAAAAGATTTTTCCTATATATTTCTATGTAAAACTTTGATCCTCCATTGTGGCCCCACCTTACCCCAGGGGGTCATGATTTGAACAAACTTGAATCTACACTACCTGGGATGCTTCCAAATAAATATGACTCATCATGGCTTTGCTGTTCTTGAGAAGAAGATTTTTAAAGATTTTTCCTACATATTTTTATGTAAAACTTTGATCCTCCAGTGTGGCCCCGCCCTACCCCCTGGGGTCATGATTTGAACAAATTTGAATCTACACTACCTGAGGATGCTTCCACATGTGTTTCATCTTTCCTGGCCCTGTGGTTCTTGAGAAGAAGATTTTTTAAAGATGCTATTAATTCTTCACTAATTCTTTATTATTTCCCCTTGAAAGAGGGTGTGGCCCTTCATTTGAACAAACCTGAATCCCCTTCACCCAAGGATACTTTGTGGCAAGTTTGGTTGAAATTGGCCCAGTGGTTCTTGAGAAGAAGTTGAAAAATGTTAAAAGTTTACAGACAGACAGACAGACAGACGGACAGACAGACAGACGGACGCTGGACAGAAAGTGATCAGAAAAGCTCACTTGAGCCTTCGGCTCAGGTGAGCTAAAAACACAAAAATAAGCAAAAGTCAACTGAATTTAAAGCAATTCTGATAATCTGTTATTTTAGTATTCTTTGAATGAAGGTTTTTCAATGATTTTCTTAATGTAATCTGATCAAATATGGCCCCTCTTGTGGTCCCTCTCTGAAAATGGCCTTTGAGATGAATGCTTTATACATATACAGTCAAACCTCTTTATCTTGAACTCAATGGGACCGAGAAAAAAACTTTGAGATATCTGAGAATTTGGGATATCAAGGGTAAAACACTTAAAGAATCACTTAAAGAATAAGGGGTTGGGACTTCCAATTCACTCCAACATATCCATGGTATTTGAGATATCAGTGTTTGAGATACCGAAGTTCAAGTGTATATACACTTAAGAAAAATACCTGCACATATCACTTTATCATTTTTTTTAAAATCAGAAACTCAAGTTCAAAAGAACTTTTACAATTGATTCCTATGCAATTTTTCTAAAATATTTTTATTGTGCCTTAATCAAGGGTAATAATTTGAAAAAAAAAAACTTGTATACTGATTTTCTTCATAAATTTAACTTACAACCGTAGCCATACACATCTTGAAAAAAAAAACTAAAAAAAACTAAAAAAATATTATATCCAGCTGTGCTTCAAATTTCTCTCTTGACCTCAAGTCACAGCTTTTTTCAAGTCTCTAGATTCTTTAAAACAAATAAAAACCTACGGAGATCCTGATGTGTGACACATACTACAGACTTGTATATTTTAAAAAGTTATACCTCCTCCATTCCTAATACACAAGTATGGAAATCTCCAGATGTTAGACACACCCACTGAGTATCCAATCACAGACAACAGGAAATCCAGCTTGTGGCTCCAAGTACCCCTTTGATAGTCCTCCTCTGATACATCCCCATCCTCCATCTTTCCCCCATTCTGCAACTCCTCTAATAAAACCCCATCCTCAATCTTCCCCCCATTCTGCAAATCCTTGGGTGGAAATTTTCCATCAGTCTTGCGCATCTATACAAAAGAGAGTAACAGAACATATTCCAAACAGCATCATTAATGGGGATTGTTGTATATGACGTTTTCACCATAAACATTTGCTGTAGAACTTTTTCCAACAAACATTGCGAAACTAAAAGATGTATCAAAATAGTCTGAAATGTATCGCCACATCACTCAACTGACACAATTTACCATTTTCATGACATGCAATTCTAACTACCAGGTAGCAGCAAATATCACTGGCCTAATATTGTGTGAGGGTGTCATTAAAAGAATTCTCAAACAAGAGGCTCATGGGCAACAACACTCACCTGAGTAACTATGGTCCTTCTGTTCTTCAACAGCAGATTTTTGCCTACATATTCTTATGTAAAACTTTGATCACATATAAGGCCCCCACCCTATCCCAGGTGGGTCATGATTTGGACAAACTTCAATCTACACTAATCATAGCTTTGCTGTTCTTGAGAAGCTTTTTTCAAGATTGTTCCTATATATTCCTAATTATGACTCTGATTGCCCACTGTGGCCCCACCCTACTTCCTGGGGTCATAATTTGAACAAATTTGAATCTACACTACCTGCAGATGCTTCCAAATAAATATAACTAATGGCTTTGCTGTTCCTGGGAAAATTTTTTTTTAAAGACTTCTTCTATATATTCCTATAATAAACTTTGATCCCCCATTTCTGCCCCTCCATCATACCCTACGGTCCTGATCTGAACAAACTTCAATCTACACTACCTAAGGATGATTCTATATAAATATGACTAATCATGGCTTTGCTCTTCTTTAGAAGAAGATTTTTAAAGATATTTCCTATATATACCCATGTAAAAATTTGATAGCCCGTGTGGCCCCACCCTACCCCCAGGGGTCATGATTTGAACAAATTTCAATCTACCCTATCTGTGGCCCCACCCTACCCCCAGGGGTCATGATTTGAACAAATTTCAATCTACCCTATCTGAGGATGCTTCTGTATCAACATGACTGATAATGGCTTTGCTGTTCTTGAGAAGATTTTTAAAGACATTTCCTCTATCTTCCTATGTAAAACTTTGACATCCTGCGGTGGAGTCGACCTGCCCTATCCCCATGGATCATGATACATGTATAAACAAACTTGAATCTACAGATGTAATGAATGTTTAACATGAATTTCATCTTTTCTGGCCAAGTGGTTCTTGAGAAGATTTTTAAAAGATGCCATAAAATCTTCACAAATTCTTTATTTTTTCTCCTTGAAAGAGGGTGTGGCACTTCCTTTGAACAATCTTAAATCCTCTTTACCCAAGGATGCTTGGTGACAAGTTTGGTTGAAATTGGTCCAGTGGGTCTTAAGAAGAAAATAAATCAAAGTACTGAAGTACTGAATGACGGAGGCATACGTAAAAGAGCCCCGGTGAATTGCAAATACAGGTTGTTGAGAATAATAGGTAATTCACGTTAATTCCGCATGAAAACTAGAAGCATAACTTTAAAAAATGCGGATACTTCTGTGGGCTTTTTTTTAAGTACAGTGTTAAGGAAGCTCTAAATACGTACTGCACATGCACTAAAAAGTTCAACTCGTAGGAGTTTTATGCAGTCAGAGTGATCTGCCCTTAGAAGTAAGATAGAAAAAAATGGTCATTTACAGTTAATTATACAATTTGTAATAGATTAAAATATTCTTAACCATATATTACACCAAGAATAAGTAACTGAATTCATTATCTCCATTAATCTTCCCAGTGTAAGTAAACAACACTGATTTCTGTTCACAAATAGTCAATTGTCTTTTAACATTTTTTCTGCTGAAATAAGGCACCTATGTTGAAAATGAACTAAATAGTCTCAATATGCACACCTTTATATGATATGTTTTTCTCCAAGTCCAAAAAGCACTTTTTGCTAGTGTTTAGAGCTTCCTTAAGGAGGAATGGCTTAAGTATGAGAAAACTATGGTGTCCCGATAGGGCTTTTTGCAAAAGTGTAACAGCGCGTTAGGAACAATGCACTAACGTGAAGTGACAATGCACTAGTCCGTTGTTCACAACACACCGTCGTGCTTACACACAACAGGTCATCACGCTTTTGCAACTTTACACAACATGCCGTCGCGCTAACACAAAACATGCCGTCACGCTAACACAACTTTACGCAATCTATTGTGTGTTATCGAGACGACGTGTTGTGTAAAGATGCGATAGCGTGACGGTGTGTTGTGTGTTAGTGCGATGGCGTGTTTATATGAGCGTGACGGTGTGTTGTGTAAAGTTGCATTAGCATGACGGTGTGTTGTGTGTTAGCGTGACAACGTGTCATAAACAACGCGCCGGGACATTTTTACTTTGCGCTAGTGCTTTTTCACTTACAAAAGTGCAACAATGCGTTAGAAACAATTGCACGTTGTGAACTACATGCTAGCCCGTTGTCACCTATGCTAGCGCGTTGTCACTTTGCACTTTCGCATTATTCCTCACGCGCTTTTACACTTTTGCAAATGACCCTATCAGGACACCATAGAAAAAGCTTATTTATACAAATCTTGGCCTTATAGCGAACATAAGATTGATACTTAATGATTAATAATCACTTTTGTGATTGATTTGTTAATTTGCAATGAACAACTTGCAAAAATATTATTAATAGTTCGTCAATTACTTTACCAAAACTGTATAATGTAAAAAACAAAAAAGGGGGGGGGTCATCAAAAGCCACAAAAGAAACTATAGCAGGGTTCCCAATCATTTTAAATTTTACGGTGTTGCAGATTTTCCGCAAAGCACTCATATTAGCGATATTTTCACGATCAAATTTATCCACTATTTATTATAATTACAAAAGCAGATATACACACACACAACTTTTTGAATCACTAATTCGTTACACAAATGTTGTGGTCGTACATATTAATGAAAAATAAATAAATCGATATTGAAAACAATCAGAATGTCTCCTGTATATCATAATGTACATACTATAACACCAACCAACTTCAACCCCCCACCCCCACCCCACCCCCTCCAACACACAACTTAAAGATAAATAAGTACGATTAAAAAAAAAAAATTACATACTTGTATCACTATGTACAAGGTGTACCTGTATTAAACCTTAACTTGATATTTTTGTATATAACTTTCTTACATGTGCACTGAAGAGCATGCAGGCGAAATTCTGGTTAATACAACCGAACTAATTAGCATCTTTAAAAGTAAATTTTGCCGTATTTTTGGTCACTTGATCGAATTACCAGTAAGTTTTTGAATTTAAAAAAGAAACTTTAGAATAGTAAAATACTTTCAGGGGGTGTCCTTAAATTCTTCAACAATACATCAATTTAATGATTATGGCACGATGTTTGACTCACAATGCCAACAAAATTCTAGAGACGTGGTTCTGAAGTAAAGACAATTATTCACTTAATTTTTAAATGTTTAAATAATACAGTCAAACCTCGCTATCTCGAATTATGTATTTAAAAATTCAACTAGTAAATATAATACGGTTACATTGAACTGTGAAAACAAATTATTTGTCTTTGTTCCTTCATGCGCAAAGTCCAGCGAGGGTTTAGGAGATAACTGATACTGCAAGGTGAAGCAAGACAATGTGCCCTAATCTAAGAGAAAATTAAGTGCTCTGGCTATAAAAATTGAAAGACGATAGATTTGTATGATTAAAGTTTCAGAGATAATTTATGTTCTGATTACGGATCTTACTGTGTTCGCTTTTTTTTCTGTGTCACGCATAAATTTGAATCGTTAGGCCTACTGAGTCGGGGAAAATTTTACTTTGTCGGGGCTGACACAGTAGAACAGCTCATGGAGAACCCTGCTATAGTGCAGATTGCTAAAAACGAGCTTACGAAAGTCTGTTGAAGTTTCTCCACAGTACGACAAAATTGTAATTTAATGTTACGGATACCTACGATACATTTATCTAAATATTGTCAAGTATACTATGACAGCTTATCGTGATCATAAAATTTTCCTGATACATGTAATCTGATGAGTTTCAAGGGATTGTGTGAATTTCTTACACTGCGTTCTTTGAAAGTAAGTTATAATAAGGCTCATTTCAAAAAGTATTGTTCATATCTTCTAATTGTACCATAGAAATAAGAATACTAAAATTACACTTGATGTGTGAATCAACAACATGAAGTGATTCAACTGAATCTACTAAGAATAAAAAAAATATTCTATTAAACATATATGCTGTAACTAGCAATTAAATGTGTTCTCGATAGAGTGGACGTCCAGCATTATAAAATTATGTATTAATTAGACGTACTTCATAAGGTCAGTATATAATTCTATTTATTTGAAATATTAATTGTCACAGATGAATAGCTGAAAAAAATACTGTCTTGATCATGTCAGCAAAACCAGTTTAGCCCCCAGTATAATAATAGAAAATGCTAAATAAACAAAAAAAAAAAATTGGTGTTGCTCTGTTTATGACCCGCTTAAAATATACGACCTTATGCTGATTCTCACTGAGCCAGATGATATAATGGTCATTCTCATAGCTATTATAGTTAAGATTTGCATTACTATGTATGTCAAACTGGTTTGTGAAAAGATTTACATGTATATGTTTAATATATTAAAAAAAAATAATCCATCTTATTTCTTTATTATTAACATAACTAGAAAACTGACCAGTCAGCAAGGGCCCCGCCGAGGGGTAGAAATATAAGGGTGCAGCTTACAAAATGAGAATTTTAATTGATTACAAAAATTTAAAAATATATGAAGGAGAATATGCAATAACAACTGTATTTATAAAATTTCAAGATAATTCCTAAATATCCAACAACCTGTAAAGAGTATCCCTGTATTTACATACCGGTAAGGCAGTAAAAAACATATCTATAATAACTCAATTAAATGTATATTTAAACAAGAATAAAGCATGTGTTTTATAAAATGCCAGCCTTCAGTGAATACAAATATCACCCAGACTTGACCTTAACTTCAAAACAAACATCAGTTGCAGACAAAGGTTAATTTACCT